CATGGTCATCTCAATAGATGGAGCAAACGCTTTTGACAAAATTCAGCATGGATTTATGTTCAAAGTCCGAGAGGGAATTGGACTGGAGGGAACATACCTCAACAGGACATATAATTAAAGCCATATATAACAAATACACAGACAACATCACTCTAAATGGAGAAAAACTGGAAGCATTCCCATTGAAATCAGGAACCAGACAAGGCTGTTCAATATCTCCACTCTTTAACATCATGCTTGAAACTCTTGCAAGAGCAATAAGATAAGAAATGGAAATTAAAGGAGTAATAATTGGAAAAGAAGAGATCAAATTATCCCTTTTTGCAGATGATATGATATTACATCTAAGAGACACTAAAAATTCCACCAGAAAACTCCTAGAAATTATTAACATGTTCAGTAAAGGGGCAGGTTACAAAATTAATCTACAAAAATCTGTAGCCTTTTTATATACCAATAACAATCAATCAGAGAAAGAGTACATGGAAACACACCCCTTACAATAGCTACAAAAAAATATATATATCTTGGGATAAACCTGCCCAAAGACATTAGACCTCTACAATGAAAATTTTAAATATTTAAAGAAAGATTGAGGAAAACTTCAGAAGATGGAAGGACCTCCCATGTTCATGGATTGGAAGAATTAATATTGTGAAATGACCATCTTACCAAAAGTCATTTATAGATTCAATACAATGCCAGTCAAAATCACCATGACATTTTTTTCACAGAATTGGAAAAAAAAAATACTAAGATTCATACGGATGCACAAAAGACCTCAGATAGCCAAAGCAACCCTGAGCACTAAGAACAATGCTGGGGGGATTACTATATCAGATTTTAAACTTTATTACAGAGCTGTAGTCATAAAAACAACAGGGTACTGGCACAAAAATAGACCCATAGATCATTGCAACAAAATTGAAGACCCAAATATGAGTACATGCAATTTCGGCCACCTGATATTTGACAAAGGGGCTAAGAACATTCACTGGCGGAAAGACAGCATGTTCATCAAATGGTGCTGGCAAAACTGGATCTCCACCTGTAGAAGAATGAAACTAAATCCCTATCTTTCACCTTGCACAAAAGTCAACTCCAAATGGATCAAAGACCTCAATGTGGAACCTGAAACTCTGAAACTGTTAGAAGAAAACATTGGTAAAAAACTACAAAATATATGTGTAGAAAAGGATTTTCTAAACCAGACATCAACTGCACAGGAAACAAGGTCAAGAATCAACAAATGGGACCTCATTAAACTAAAAAACTTCTGTACATCAAAAGAAGCAACCAAGGAAGTGAAGAGAAAACCCACAGAATGAAAAAAATCTTCACCGGTGACACATCTGACAGAAGTTTAACATCCAGAATATATAAAGAACAGAGGCAGGCATAG